GAAACTTTATTCCTGGTGATGTATCGATTCCTTTGCTGTCAACGACTGTCTAGAATCGCCCTCCCTGGAATGACGCCTCGGCTAAGTGCTCAGCGGCCTGGTCGCCAAGATTGCCTTTTCGTACCCAGGCAAGGCAGAACAATAAGCTAGCGAGAAAGTTCTACAGTCTGGGACCGCGTGACTTTGCGCACAGCACCAGCTTCGAATATAAGAGCCAGGCACTCAACAAGGGCCAGGCGCATCACCTTGTGCGGAATCTTTGCTACAAGAAATTGAAGAAAGTGTTTGCGCGCAATCCACGGCCTGTATCATGACAATGAAGATGTGTGCGTGGATGCCCATTTGTGACGCTCTGCTTCTCTCTGAATCTTCTTTTGTTTCAGTACCACCCAAGCATGAAACCCAATCAGTAGAGACGAGATTGGCTCTGCAATGCAACTGCTGACTGGATGTTCCAGAAGGCCGAGATCCCTGCATTGGAGTTACTGTGAAGATGCTCAGATAGTCGCGAAACTTCCTCACAGTGCATGTGGCCACTAGACAGGATGGTTCGTGCGTGCACAAACCACTCGACTTGCACTTCGCTCCCGAGCTCTTTTCCATGTCAGCTGCACCGTCTATGTGAGAAAAGGCTGCACAAAATCCGATGTTGTAGTCAGGCCCTGCAACACAAGGAGGGCTGGCGAACATTTCTTACAATCCTCGCCCAAGGCATTGACAGCCTTCCTTACCAATTGTCGGATTCCTTTCGGATCTCCAGCATCTCCAGGCCGCCAAAACCGTGGGTCTTGAACTCGTGTGGCCATAGCATCATACAGCATTGTTGATGCGTATGGGACGACCGAGCTCAGACCCAAGCATTCGCCCAGAGGAAGGCCTGCTGCAGTCCGAGCGGCAGCACTGGAACAGAGCCATGAGAAGTCAAGGTGCGAAAAGTCAGCATATCAAGGCTTCTGAAGCACTATCAAGATGAACTCTCGGCTGTAGTTTCGTGAGGACGCCCTCGGATAAAGACCCTCACTTTGCACCAGCTCGGTGGACACCACCTGGAAACCTGCGAGCTCGGCCAAGCGCACATAATCTCCTCACACTTAGAGTAAGTCAAGCAAATGTCTTCGGACGGTTCTGGAAAATACGTGCTCCTGTGGCCTCCAGACTGTAACACCCACTGCTAGGGATTTGCAAAGTGGACCGCTTTTTTGCGGAAACACCCATGGGCTGACACTCCAGACTCCTGTGTCGCACAGGTGGATTCTGTGGCTTGCCGCAAAGCTTGGTGAGCACTCGTGGATGCATCTGCCCATAGGCTCATCACGAGGTGAATATGCCTGGAAAAGGAAATACCTCAGCACATACAAAATTTGTTCAGACTCCGCGTGTTTACGAAAGCCTTGTCTCGTAATTAAGACGCTTGCCCACCCGGCGCCAGCCAACTGTAGACATGCTGGAAGAAGGATTTCTTCACCGCATCCTGACAAAGCACGCTACCAGACCAATAAGCATGCTGTGCTGGTGCTGGTGCCTTTGCTGCGCACTGACCCAATCGTGAGCGGTGAACAACGCTTTCAAGTTGATGCACCGGCTACGGGAAACTTTACTGTGCCCAAACTCAATTCTGGGCCACACAGACACAAACATCGTGATTCGCATCATTGGCATAGATGAAAACGATGATGAGGAGGATGATAATGCAGCGGAGGAGCAGGAGGATGTGAGCGTCAGTCAATGCAGACAATTAACGGACACGGGTTCCTCATCAGGGAATATGTTAGGGACTATACTAAACAACAAGAGAGAGCCCTACGTCCACTGTTAAGGGTCCTTGGGTAGGCTAATATTGACAGTGGCTCGAGGAGCTGGGAGCTGGAGGAAGAGCAGTGGAAAGAGGAGAAGGAGACTGTTCAGAAGATGTTTCTTTGTCGTTAGGAGGCTTTTTCCCCTTTCCGAACAAAGCCTCGTACCTTGCAAATATGGTCAAGAAGTCAGCTTCACTAAGCAACTCAAACTCCGTCTCATCTACCTGAGATAAGACCTGGTTGGGCTTCAGCTTGCGAGTGGCAAGTGATGATAGACTAGCACCGGAGGACACGGAAATGTCCACCCCCCCTCCTACGCCCTGTTCGGCCACTGTCAGCTGTTTAGACGAAGTGCTCGCACCGTGTGCATCATCTGCAGTTGAGATCTTCCAAGATAAGACGCAGCTGTTGAAGCGGCTTTCAGAGAATGTTGCTATGAGGGCGGCGGATGAGCTGGATGTCTATCTAGATATCCCACGTCATGTAGGCCCAATTCAGATCAAATCTTGACTCCCCCGCTTGCGTCAAAATGGCCGCATGGATCCGAGCCTCCAAGGCCTCAAAAACGATGACGGATACAAGGATTCTGAACTGGACACCCGCCATACCTATGACTGCTCACACTTTTGAGCCGCCTGGGCTGGGAGTCAAGGGAGCACAAAATGGGGAGTGGTGCCGGAGACTATATATATGTACATACTCGAAGTCAATATCTACGAGGCCCCTGGCATCTAAGCGGAAAGCATGGGGGTCGGGCCTCAGGTTCGCGAGACTACGGTGACCCCAATACGTCTAGCGTGGTCCCCGCAAAGGGCCCGGCGACCCTCTTCCCTCCCCGGCCCTCCCTCCGGCCCCCGCAAATATCCTCCGCGCCGCTTTTGCCACCCTACTCCCCACCCCCCAGCGACCCAACTGGAGGATCCTGAAATTTCCATACACATGTTTAGGGACATGTTATAAGGCCATTCAGGTATTGCACCGGGCTCTAGAGGGATATCGTATTTTAGAAGGTCATACAGGGTTCTGTAACGGGTGTTGTAGGAGATTATATGCCAAGATTATGTACGGATACTAAAACATGATCTAAGAATATGATGGCACTAGGAAGGGACAAGTTGATCTGAAGCTGTCTTGTTCCAGGCTGCTATAGAGGCGAGCCGGCCGAGGCGGCGCGTGTTAGCGTTAATACTGATATGCGTATTTGTCAGTACTATTACTAGTAGTGGTATGAATGTGCGATGAGTACGGGTCTGAAGTTGCAATCTTGATGTGGAAACAAGTATTGACATTCATCTTAATATTCCTCGAGATAGCATGAGAACTAGATTTTCTATGAGCAGTACTAGACGTGATATTGGCATTCCTATGAACAGTAGTGCTCGTAATATCGAGGTTAATGCTAGTATTGGCTTTAGCATCAACAATGAGTTTGATACTAGTATTGCATGCGGGTTGGTAACGAAAGTAATACTAGTCTAACATTTGTCGTATTGATATCTTATATTGGGAAGTTGCCTTGGTATCAACCATTCGTATTCAGTTTCACAATTGATAGTACTATGAGTACTGATATATATGTTATATATATATATATGCATACAAATGTATTCTTAAAAAATCCAACCCTCATATTGGCGCGAGAACCATTGGGAATACAGGTATTGATATTGATATCAGTATAGTAGTAGCAATGCCTTCTACTGCCAGCTGATATTCGCATCAGTATCAGGGTTTGATAGCTTTTGTATGACTACTTATTGTATTGCACACCCCCTGCATGCGTAACAGATGAGGGAAGATGCGAAGATGCAGTTGTTGCACGATCGATCCGTATTCCCAGGCAATGTGTTTTCCTTTAATCAAGAACATGCCCCCCTTGCAAAATCGGGACGAAGATGAGGACATATGGTTTCCTGCTGAGTCTTGATCACACACGAATCATTGCTTACATGGAACATGTGGCGTGAAGGGGTTGAGGGGCGCAGCCTACCGATTGCGCTTAGGTGTTGATTTATCTTGATAGGTCCCCCCGGCATCGTGTTGGCATTCGATCAAAGCAAATCGGCCGGTAGAGCGTGTTCAGCATGGACAACACAGGGAAAAGGGAACCGAAAGCTGCCTGCTTGGTCTTGACAGGAATCCTGCAAACAATAGCAAATTGATGTTGCTGTGGTGTTCGCGGTAATTCTAGGCCAAGAAAGCCAGCAAGCCAAGGAGTCTGAGAAAATCAGAAACCAAGAAGCCAGGAAGTCGATGAGCCTGAAAAGCCCAAAAGCCAGGAAGCCAAGATGCCGTCGTGAAGCGATGTAGATGAGCACACCATAAAAAGATGAGAAGAACAACAAAAAAGGCCAAAGTGGGATTCCAATGCAAGCGTACCCCGAAGCGCAAGCCAAGATTTCTTTCACATGAGCCTGCCACAGAACAAGAGCGCGAATCCTCGTAGTCTTCTATCGAGTTGTTGTGCACAGCCACATCAGGTGCAGCTGAGCCAGGTTCTGGTCTCCACTCCAAGTAGCTTGCTTTGGAAACCTACCAGGAAACAAGAGTACTTTTAGCGCAGTTTAGGTACAGACGTGAAGGGAGTGCCAGGAGCAGTTGCCTTCATGTGCCTGCGGGCCAAACGCAAGTGACCTTCGGAGATATCGACTCCAAGAATGTCCAGTGGTCCAAGAAGCTTGGCAAACAAGCCAGTACCACAGCCTTGGTTTCGTACAAGCCGTACCGGCCAAAAAACAGATGGTACCACCTTGCTAAGGCAGCCTCAACCAGTTCTGCACACTCGACAAGCGGCCCAGATCAACTAGAAGCAAGTCAGGCTTTTTTGCCGCAAGTTTTAGGGCCAGCTCAGCGACCCGCCTGTAGCGAGAAAGAAGCTGCAGAAACCTGCACTACTTCCAGTGGCACCCAGCCTTAGCGCAGGCATCCGTCCTCCTGTAATGCTCCTTTCCTCGAAGGCAGTCCCATCGTGCTTGTCCCAATAATTGTGAAGCTGCGTCTTTGCAGTATGGCAGTGAGCTGAAGATCTCCTCTCAGCAATGAGCAGTCGATCATGGCTCTCTCATGTTCTCTCCAACCCTTGGAAGCAGCCAAGTTTGAAAACTTGAAAAGCGCTCTTTGCCTGCGATCAGCACACAGAAATGCCGCACTGCATGGCACCAAGGCGGCCCGGAGCGACCGCCCGGCGAACATTTGTGAGAAGAGTGCGCTGCTGGCATCTCTTGAGCAACGTGCCGCCGGAGACAAGCATTGACCGGTTCAGCCAGCCACCCTACCACTTACCGTGGAGAGAAATGTTTGAGTCGGATGATAAAGTCAATGCAGAGGGCAGGTCCTCGTCTGTGAGCGCCACTCCGACTAGGGCCAGCTTTGTGACCTGTAGGAAGACGCAATGATTCATTCATTCTGTAGGAAGCCGTTTTCTCCAAGCGCATGCTTGATGCATTGAAACGCTGCAGGCATGCTGGGGAATTAAGGCAAGGCACCGAAGCTCCGTTGGCGCCATCCAAGGCCAGGCAGCTCTCAGCCTCCGAGAAAGAGCTGGCGCGATGCCAGGCATCCATGTCCTGTTCACATTGAAATAAGGCAGCTCTGGTTTTCACAGATGCAAGTGTGATGCTACGCTCCTCCGGGGCCTCTAAGCCATCGCAACGAGCTCGCCTGCCCTGTGCAAAAAGACAAGTTGAGGTGCGGGGCTGTGGTATGCAGAAAACTCGAAGGGGATGCCTTAGGCGCGCATCCGGAAGGAGGAGGTGATAGCAGCTCAGCCTGAGCGATCGAGACGTGCAGTCGGGGTACACTCTACCCACTTATACGTGAAGCATGTCCCGAATGCTACCCGAATCATCCTGCTATTGGTATGACTTACGTGCCTTCTGCTGCATGTGGCGCCGAGATCTCTCACTGGAGCTTTCAGACCTGCAGCCCACCAAGGTCAGATCGGTCAGGTGTCCAAGAGCACGGCCCGTGCGCCTCTCTGACGCCGACTCGGGGGATGGCCACACCGGCTCTTCCGCTGGAGGAACCTCTTGATACTAAGTCCGTTTTTCTGCAGCATCGGTTTAGCTTTTCTTGGGCCTCTTCGGCCTGACGATCCTGCAGCAGAACCTGCAATGCCAACTTCCGTAATACGTGCAGGGAAAAAGGGGCCCAGACACGTGCCGACTAGGCATTGGCCTCGCCCAAGGTTGCGCCAGGAGGTGGGATCAATTCCGGCGTCGAACGTACACGAGCACGGCTGGCCTAGAAATTGATCGAGGCATGACACAGTATCGTTCCCCTCTTCATTGAGCTAATGCCGAGCTGCCTGGCTGCGGTGCGGACACACACGTATCGCTAAAGCACCCATGGCGACGAAGGCAGCTCATCGAGGCGAGTCACTAAGTGCAAAGTCAGGTCCTGGAGTTGGAAGCTTCTGGGTCGAGGTTGCAGCTACTTCGGGTGGATCTCAAGCTTTTGCGTATCAGTGTGCTGCCACGCATTTGTACATGAAGGGCAAAGGTCGAGTCACAACAAATAGATCAAGTGGTGAAGGAATGACTGCTCCCAAGAATTGGGAGACATTTCACTGTTCACGTCGCTTGTCGACGCAAGTCTTAAGCTGATGGATGCGCAGCTGACATCGGATTCTAGTCCCCACACCGGTACAGCGGGTTGCTTGCTGACCTGCCATGGATTCACGCGGACTTTGAAGCCACTTTTGAGCTCAGATCATTTGCAAAGTGAGAATGGAAGACAGCCCTCTCTGGAACCCACTGCTGAAACATCGACCCCACCTGGAACTTCCGAAGCGATAATCAAACACCCCCGCATACGTAAACGCTAAAGAGCAGTGCAGGTGCTCCTCACGAAGTTGGAGGCACATGCTGCTGGGTTTGAAGAATCAGGACGTCAGGGTAATTGTACAATGAAAAATCTGGACTTGGCATGGCTAAGAAGAATTCTGTAGCTGGAGGGCCCCTTCATGCCCCGCCAAAGACCAATCGTGAACGTAAAACTCGCCTCATGCAGACGAGGGCAACCAAAGCTGTCGGGACTTGCACAACATCATGTGGCAAAGCTCAAGGGTAGAATCGAGTTTTCCAGGTAAGCCCTTAGACTTCCCTGAACAATAACAGCCCAGGCAACACCGCAAGCCGCTCCTTTCATGTCTGACTACTCGCCCAAGAAGCACCCCAAAAATCAGGCTTCCGGAAGGTGCGGTAAGTGGAAAAACTTGCATGCAGGGATGGTAGGTACCAAGCCTGAAAGCAGGCCACGCAAGTCCAGGTGTACTGTCCTGAGGCAGCTCAGACCTCAAACACCTGCATCCAATAGTCTGGTTCCAACCGTGCCGCTACAGCTCCGGCAAGCAGAGCTCACAGCAAGACGAACAAGACGTGTTGGCAGAGCAAGGAGGTCGGATGCAAGCACAGATGGACGACAAACACAATGAACTAGGATGGGGATGGGGAGCCACAGAAGGAGCAGGGAAACGCAGGCACGATCTAGAATAGCACCAAGATGCCAAGGCGCTGGAAGACCAAAGTGGAAGGAAGTAAGAGAGTGGCAGTGTTGGTGCGTGCAGGAGGTTGCGATCCAGGACGTGTTCTGCTACGAGCGCTCCTACCGCAAAGGCAGGAACGGATGTGGTGGGGGGAAGCAATAGACAGGGCAGCGTCTGTAGACGAGTGCGGGGAAGTGGTGAACAAGGACCTGTTTCATCATCAGCCACCGGAAGCATCCGCTCTTCGCGGGAAACCGAGAAGAACACATCTAAATGCAATGGGGCACGATAAAGTACCTTGGGCAACAAGGCGATCGCACGCTCTTGCATCATCTTGCATATGTGATGTCAATTTTACGAAGTTTGGACCTCCCATGTTTGTCATTTATCACTGAGTAACCAGGATAGCGCGGCTGCGCGACACCTTCAGGTAGTGATGATGACATGAGCATAGAGGTATGTTTGACTTGAGATGTTTGGGCGCATGCGGTACTGACTCACACTTTTTCCTCAGGCAGCTTCTGGCGGCGAAGGGGAAGGCTCCGGCTTCACCAAGTTGTCCTCACATGAGCTGCATGACTTCTGCCACAGCATTCACTAATCCTGGCTACGAGGAGTGGCAGGCTTCGCAAACACCATCCTTGATAGACCTGTTGATGCTTGCCCAAACCTAAAACCGGAAAAAATGTCCTGAAATCTTGAGAAGAGGAGAATCCCAACTCTCCCCAGGCCATGGTTTACAAAATCTTGCAAGCAAAGTGTGCACGGTGGACTCCAGTCCGGCTTCAGCACTTTGACGCCAGATTGCCCGAAGATCCTGGACATTGCATTTTTCGCACTTGATCTGGTTAAATGGAAATTGGGACACGTTGAAGCTCAATTCTTTCATGTCATGACAACAGGTTACCTACAACACATCAACTTCACGCCGCAACACCACCACTGTTGGATCTCCTTGCTGTCCTGCATTGGATGCAGTCTGGAATCAACTGGTCAAGCAATGCCCTCACATGCACTGATTGC